CTTCCAGAAATCTTAAGTGTTGTAATGTAAGAATGTCGTAAGTAGTCGTATGGGAAGACCCTAGACTCGTATTCTGGTGCTCGCCGGCTCGAATCTCGGCCCAGACACCAGCTATCCTGGCTTCAGTGTTTTTCGTCAATCATTCAGGGGAAACTCCATGCTATATCCTCGATTAGGCAACGACCGCTACCTTCCAAATCCTTTCCAATTCATCATGGACCGCCCTACCATTCAGCGCTGCGTAAGCTAGTCACTGACGGAGCCGCACACAGCCCACAAGAAGATTTTTGGCAGAGCTGAGGTACTCACGACGGTGACTATGAAGGGCTTTGTTCCGTGTTTGGCTTACACTTTGACCCTGAAGATGGATACAGTAGTTTCTCCGAAATGTCTGTGAACTTGTAGGAAACGTCACATCTCAGATATCTTCAGATTTTTGTTTATTGCTGTAGCTGAGTTCGTGTTGTGAGCAGCGAAGTGTTCAGCTCTGTTACTGGAAAGACCATATTTCAGTCTTAGAGCGCCGACTGTCCGAAGAGCTTGCTGTTTTTTCGGTCTTCCCAGAAGAATGATGATGAGCCGGAATAGCGCAGTCGGTGTAGACACTGGCTAAGGGCTGAATAGCCGAGAGGTCGGAGTTCGAGTCCTGATAGGAATTGGCTTGTACATAAGCTTCATTTCATCTTATTCGATGTTACATAAAATATACAGCTGATGCAGTGCAGATAGGTAGCCGACAAATTATGTACTCCATTTTAATATTATGTAGGTGTAATGGGGTTAGGAAATGGACAAATTTGAATACACGTATTTCGGAATGCAGGCTTTACGAACTTGTTTCCACTAGGAATTACTGGATTTTTGGACTTTGAGCCCTTTAGAACCTGCTTGTTTCCACTAGTCCTGAGGTTCATTTAATGAATTGCAGATCAGTTTTTATTCCGCTTGTGTTTTGAAATCTTATGATAGAAGGCCGCAATGCAGTGCAGGATATAAATGATTTACTGATAAAGCTAATGAAGGATAGATGTATGCCGATACATTTTATTTTTCTTGTTATTTTATTAAACATTTTATACCATAGACTTCAGGAATGAGTTTTAGGTAGGAAAAAACTCCATGGCCTGCAGCCCGCGAGCGAACTATACCAACCGAGCGACCGCCGCTTGTCGGCGAAGTTAGTTCCAACTTTAATGGATAGAGGGTATCACGTGTTCAGCGCAACGAATCCCCACCGCCGTTAATCTCGATTTTCTAGACCGGAGCCGCTATTTCCTTGAAATAGCTCCTCAGTTATCCTCACGAGGCTGAGTGGACCCCGTTCCAGACCCACTACTTCACAGAAAATCTGGTAGCGCCGGGAATCGAACCCGGGACTTCTGGATCTGTAGCGAGAAACTCTGACCACTATACCACAGAGGCGGTCTGTTGGGAGGGATGGTTTTATAATTCTAAAATGACGTAAATGTATTACAATTTTACACTAATTTCGTATTTATCAACGTGCCCTGCACCGTTATGACAGAATATGCGCTGATAAATTTTGTTCTCAGAGGGATATATTAGTTTTTCCTTGTATTTAGTTACATTTATGTTATCACACTGAGAAATGTTCAGAGAACTAGTTTCAGATATCAGTGAAATCTGCATTTTGTGCTGAGAGTTTGTTTTTTAATAGGTAGCCCCACTTTTTTAAGAAAATTGACGTTCAGTTTTATCTTCATGTGAACTTCGGATTATGCTGGACTTTATATTGTAGCAGTAGACTTATGTCTGTAGTAAACGGACATCGAAGCCAGTTATGTATGCAAACTTTCAAGAACCCATTTGGAAAATGTGTACTCCAGTGTTGTCCAGTTACACACTCCACCAAGCATTGCGGGTTAATTAACTAATTCACCTACTTGACTAACTCCATGGATCAGAGCCCTTGGGAAACTGCTAGTCGCTCAGCTGATCAAGAAACTCTATTTCTTTTTACGGAATCCGAAATTTCATTGCGGTGTTCACAAGATATCGCCACTTGAGGCAGCTGACTCCCGTCAACACCCTCACACCCATTTCCCTAAAATTCATTTTAATATTGTGACTTATCGACCCATTGCTAGGCAACTACTCAGTGTACAGGTTCCAGCGAACACGCAATAATGGGAGTTGTGTTCTCTGTGGACCACGCTACAGCGCGTTTCTAGGTAGCACAACAATTCTGACATCAGGTGGGGTGTTTTATATGTTGTCCGCGCCATGCCCAGTGCTAGGCAACGGAGGTGTAAACACACATCCTTAATAGAAGAAGGTGTTTTCTATGTGGTCCGTGCTGTGGCTGTGTACTCGTAAGCAGAGTCTGTTTGTAGCTAGATTAGATTAGAGAAATAGCATTTGAGAATTGGCTCAAGTTCTGGAGGGTCGGCATTCCAAGGTTATTGAAGAAGTGGCGAGAAGAATTCATAGTGACTTGAAGTGATAGCACCTATGATAAATCCGTTGCCAGGAAACCGATAGTGTGACGTAGTAATTTGTGAAGTGGGTAGATTAGCGGTAGCGCTATAATTGATTGTGATTAAGCGAGATTGTGCCAATAAATCCAGTCATCAGCCCAGGACCCGTTAGTATTGGTCACGGAACCCCGGACACGTGACCGTATCTTTCCGCGTATGCCTTGGTCTTCCAAATTATCTTATACCTTAAGGCTTCCGGGCTGAAGTCTGTAGCTATATGCATTTCTCAGCTCCTCCCCTTGCATGCTACATGTCCTGCCCATCGAATCCTCCTTGTTTTAATCATGATGATAGTATCAGGCGCAGTATACAGAATATGAATTTCATCACTGTGTGACTTCATGCATTCTCCCGCAATTTACTCTTTCTCATGTACAAATATTCTGTCAGCACGTTGTTCACAAATGCTCTCACTTGATGCCGAGCACGCTGGCTCAGGCGGTAACACTCCTGATTCGGTTGGTGCACATTTCGAATTTCATCCCTAACGCCGACTATTCTAAATAATGCTTTTCATTGTTTTACTCAGCTTCTCCAGACGAGTACTAGTGTAGTATCTTGAAATAAGCCACGATATCTGCCACGTTCCTTCCAATTCGTCATTCATTAATCATCATATCATTCGACTCAGTACGCTCTGGGCTACCGGCACCGTCGGTAAATAAACGGTAACAGATCTCTCAACTTGTGTGCTTTACCGGTAAATAATGTAAACGATGCTGACTAATATTTAATTGAAGGGCCGCGCCATAGCCCAAGCGGTTAGTCGCTGGCTTCCCACCGCAGCGGCCCGGGTTCGATCCCGGTCTGGTCAAGTGGGATTTGTGGTGGACAAAGTGGCGCTGGGGCAGGTTTTCTCCGAGTACTTCGGTTTCCCCTGGCAATCTTCATTCCACCAATTGCTCTACAATCACCCTCACCTATCATCTGGGGCTGGTACAATAGGCCAGAAGTGACCGCAGTACAAGGGACTTAGTCCCGCCCCACTAGCATAAAGAAATATTTAATTCAATATTAAAATAACATCGAGGCAATATATATGTACATTTTCCATTGACGAAACGAATTACAACGTAATTTACTGTGTAGTTGCCAGTTTTAGGCTAATTTTGTGCTAATAGAACACAATTAGATGGACATAGGCAGCTGATCTATCGGCAGACAAAACAACTCTGAATGCAGTATCACCGTGACAAGCCATTGCTCTGTGGGCGACAGTTAGAGCACTCCTGTCCTGTCGACGTGAAGTGAGACCACTGCCTGGCCCAGGAGCTGATGCAGCCTTGCAGTGGTGCTAGTGTTTGTGGCAGCATTATCTTCTTACCAGTTGCTCTGCACCCCAACACGTTATCTCTTGCAGGCTCCTGGGCACTGTCAGATGACTGCCGTGACACCCACTACAGCGAGAACAGAAACATTTTCCGATTGCCTTACTTGCTAATTTATGTATATTCTTGATATTCATTTATTCAAAATAAATCGTCGTTGTTGTTTCTTTTTGTTTTATCTGTAGTGTGAAATGTCGGGGTACGCGGTAGCGCAGTTGGTTGAGGCACTATGCTATAAGTCGGAAGGTCACGGGTTCGAGTCCCGGTGAGGTGGATTTTTTAAATTGACCTAATCCTTTCAGTCGCACTGTGGCCATGGAGTCGACTCAGCCTCTAACAGAAATTAATACCAGAAATCATCCTGGAGGCTAAGCGGCGGCCGGGGCGTAGGAAGGACAACCTCACCGTCATCTGTGAGCCGAGTGTCTAGAGAAAATGTGGAAGTCTCAACATCTCACAACCCTATGGGCTTCCACGGCCTGTTACAGGGATAGCTTTACCTTTTTTTTATAGTGCGACATGTCAACGCATTTGCCAGGCAATGGGTTGGTAAACAAGTTCCCGCGAAGACAGATTCTTGGTAAACAGTCCTTTGCTAGGTTACGCAATAATTCTAACAATAGAAGAACTGCCGTTTGTACCTATGCAAGTCAAAATTAAATTAGCTTAACTTTTTACGTAAACTCGAGAACTCGATTTACCAAATTTACTCAAAATCCAGTCAGTAGTTTCGGAGATGAATCGTCCGAAGTAAGGGACAAGACCTCTCCGTTACGCCTTAGTTTTGTGCACTTCGTACAAATAATGGTAAATAAAGCAATAACTGCGTGGTATTATATCAGTGCAGTTGCAGTGGGCCAACTTCCTGTGCAAGAAGTACTATCAAATGCGTTTCAGAATTTAATTCTGAATCGAAGGAAGCCAAATGGCCTAATGGATGATAGCCAGAGAAGAGCAAAGTAATGTTTAACATAGGTATACACAGTTTTTGCATCTCTCAGTTACAAGGTACTGCAGTTCTGGCCAGTTTCAATGTTAGCATGTTCTTAATTAAGTGTCTGAACATAACAAGTCATTACCATGACGACTATGGTGGTCCTTCCTTGACACGCGCGCGCGCCATTAATAACCATTCATGAAAAAGGAATATGATATTCTTTGTTCTCTTCCGCAGGGTTACACTCCTCTACACATGGCCATGCAGTTTGGTCATGAGGAAATTTACAACCTTCTCGTCAAAGTTTATGGTAAGTAGAATGAAAATTTTCATTTCTCATGCTTCAAATAGCCTCTCATTTGCATTTATCTTTTAACATGCTAGCAACTCTTTTATGCTTGTTAGTTTGTTAGTGTAAGCTCTTATGAAATATTTGCCACTTTCCGTTCAGCGTAATTTAGATGTCTGTCCGTTAGCATGTTATAAATTTAACTCGACTCGCAACAATGTTCAGATGTTGCCTAATTAGCGGAAAAGTCTCGTTAAAATTTAACGGGAATCACTTCTTTCGTATCTTCATCTTCCCATTTCTTTACTTTTCCCCATTAGTACTATATTATATTTAAGCATCCTGTTGCACTATACACTTCTATATGTAATAATACAAATGCCGTCGTGAATGCAGCAATTTATTTTGGTTTATAAATTGTTGCATTCACGACCGCATTTGTATTATTCCACATAGAACCCCATTAGTACCTTTATCTCTTTCCCTCTTTACCTGTTGAAACTGTGAATTGAGTTCTGTCTTTCCATCTGCTGGCGTTGTTTCGAGCATAGAGCTGCCATCTGTGTGGCATAGCTACATGTTTCCTTGGAAACGGCGTGCGAACGGCATGTTGTGCACACATGATTAATTACAATATAAACAGTTACACACACATACCTTGTCAATTTGTATGCTTTCATAGCACGAAATGTGCAGTAGTTTTTGTAGGTAGCGTAGCCGGGAAGCGAACTTATGCGTTGTGGGCCGACCCCTTTCTTTCCGCTTGAGCCCGCCGTGGCGAAGAACTCGCTGTATATAATGAAGTCGCACCTACCTCCGTTTGTTTCATCTTTGAAACTATGTAGTAGATTTCCGTTAAGTTTGGCACCAGTAATTGCACTATTTTTTTTTCTATCGTGTATAATTTTGGTGTATAAAGCCTACATAATCCATACTTATCACCATCATCATTGCAAAAGAAACCATATTTGAACCATAGCCTTCATGAGAAGGTTTGTCAGATTTGTTTATTCCTCGTGAATTAGACCATCCGGTTTTTCACTTCTTTGGATTCCACAGTAGTCATTTTTTTTTTCACGAAGCAAGGTCGTCAGCCTTGTGTCCAACGCCCCTAACCCGGAGGACCAGATCTCTGTGTTTATATCCCCCAGTGAGAGGGAGGCCCAGTTACGTGCATACCCCCAGGCACCGGGTTCCAGTTTCGTCGCCTTCTGCGTCTCGCAGGGGTACGGTGGAGGTATTCTAAACCACCTCCACGTGGGACAATCCGCACTTATAAAAAACGAAAATTGTATAAAAACTGTTCATCGTACGAAAAGCCCCACTCACTAAGATCTGCTACATCAGCGAAGATGTCTGGGGTACCGCAAGGCAGGGTAGTAGGACCACTATGATACCTTCTCTATACGGCGGACCTACCAACCGATGAAAACACCACCACAGGAACCTTCGCAGATGATACAGTCATCCTAGCAACCCATGCAGATCCAGCAAAGGTCACCAGTATCCTACAAAACCACTTAAACCAAATACAAACATGGCTACACAAATGGAAAATTAAACTAAACGAGGCTAAAACTATCCAAGTGAACTTCACGCTAAGGCGAGAGCATTGCCCACAAGTTAGACTGTATAATAACAATATCACAGCCTCCGAGCGTTAAATATCTCGGAATCCGTACGGATAGTAGACTCACTTGGAAAGACCACGTAATCACAAAACGCAAACAGATAGACTTAAAACCCAAGGAGCTAAACTGGTTAATTGGAAGAAGATCCAACCTCTCCATAGAAAACAAAGTCCTGCTCTGTAAGACAATAATCAAACCAATCTGGGCTTACGGAATCGAGCTCTGGGGTTGCGCTAGCAAATCAAATATATCAATGATCCAGAGAAGCCAGTCAAAAATACTTCGAATTATAACAAATGCACCCTGGTATGTAAACAACCAAACGTTACATACAGATCTAAATATACCATACATCAAAGACGTCATCAGAGAAAAAAGTACCGCACACCACAACAAATTAGCAAATCACCCAAACGACATACTACAGCCACTCGTTGAACCGCAGCACAATCGAAGCCTCCGAAGATACTGGCCAGCTGACCTAAAAGACAACTAAGAGGAACCTCCACTGGGGAAGGGACTCGTCACGTCATTAAAGAGTATCACAGCTCTTGCACCAGCAAACTAGCTCATAGGATTGTACATTCTGACTGCTTAATAAATAAATAAAGAAATAAAGAATCAGCGAAAATGCAGTTCCTTCACAGAATGTCATCGCCGGGGTCTAACCCTGTCCCTAAGGCTCATCTCTTTATTACTTCATGGAGAATACGTCTTAAATTCAGTAAATGCCATGTCAGTATCTTCATCAGGATGTGCTCGATTCCTATAATGGCTCGTCTGTACTTTTGTTTTGGAGTATTTGCCAGGAAGTATAATTACCCATTGTATTATAAAGCGAAAGAATAAAGGAGTTTCGGGGAAGGTTTTCTGCAGCCGTAACGGACTGTAGTAAGCAGTCTGGCCGTTGCCGAATTGTTACGACTGTAATCACGAGAAAAGCTCACACACTGACACGGCTAGTGTGTCTGTGATCCCGTGACAAGCGACAAGATAGCGACAGCGTGTTCACGTTTATCCAAGAGTCTCCTCATCTGTTGACAGACAGATAGATCACTGACACCGATGTTTGGACTGACAGTTTCCTAAGGCTGGTTGATGGCTGACTAGTTGTGTGCCGTAGCAGCAATTTTCACACCAGTCAGGGTCAGTCAGACTTTGGTACCTGTAGGCACTTCCTTTCACGAAGTTGCGAAGCCCCATTTTTGGGGGATGTAGTGTTGGACATCATGACTGCGGAACATGTGGCGATGTGAAATATAATTCGATTAAATGTATGGTAATAACTCATATGATAAAGGTAATTGAAACGTCTGTTGTTAGGTAATAATAATATATATTGTATACAAACAAATAAACTCCGTGGTTTTGGTCCACAAGCGAACTCTACCGACCGAGCGACCGCCGCTTGTCGGCAAGTTAGTGCCAACTTTAGCGGATAGAGGGTGTCGCGTGGTCAGCGCAGCGAATCCCACGGCCGTTATTCTAGGTTTTCTAGACCGGAGCCGCTATTTCCTTCAAACAGCTCCCCAGTTATCCTCACGAGGCCGAGTGTACCCCGCAGATAAAAATTTGAGGAGGGGGTACTATACACATTAGAAAATTACGCGACCGTAATGTTACGATGACGAGAAAACGAATGAGCTTTCTTTGAAATTCCTCTAAAATTTTATTTAATTTTTATTTTGGCGATTATATACAAATTTAAAAATGAGAATTATGCCCATATTATTGTATTTTCAACCTGAACGAAACAAAAGTTATATTAGAATAGGTATAATAAATCTCTTCTAGGGCCACCGATTTTCAAGAATTGCAGGTGCAGCTTCAGTATTTGTGACCTAGAATAAAAATAAGATGGATGAGTTAATTCTACAACTAATTTGTTATAAATTAATAACATAACACGGAAAAGGGAAGAATTAGCTAATCAACCTGTAACATTTTTCATAAGGTTAGGAGGGTATACGCTTTCTAGCTATCTGTGGCTCTACAATCCTTTTGTTGGACCTTGGCCGCTTTTTCAGTTTTTTAATCCTATACGCAGTCGGTAGGACTGCTTGGACGGGGGATCAGCCCATCGCAAGGCCTCTACCTATACACATAACATAAACACAGAATAAACGCACACAGACATCCATGTATTGAGTGGAATTCGAACCCGCGATCCTAGCGTTCGAGCGAGCGAAGACCATGCGGGCAATGTGATCGGCATTGTATATGCTATCTTTTCCTAAAAGGTGGAGGGTTTATCCCAGTATTTAAAAAAGGGTAGAAGGTGTACGTCATATACCACTGTGTACCCTCCTACAGGTCTGGCAGCAGAACTGTATCTGCAGTAAATGAGGGCGAATGCTATATGCCACATCTCAAAGAACGGTTTTGGAAAATATATGTATCGAAAGTAGCATAGCATAGCATAGCATAGCATAGCATAGCTTCTCCTTGTCTGGTTTCCCGTACATTTGGTGTATGAAAACTGGAATTGGCCTGTGCATTTTATGCAGTTAACGTGCACCTAGTTCAGGGATCTTTACAACAGATGGGAAAACATTCTCCGTGTTTACTTGTGTATATTTTATTTCAGATGTTTTTCTTCTGATTGTTTTCTTATTGTTTATATATTAAGTAATAATTTAATTCTATTGGCTGCAATGAAGGTAGTTGTATGCTGAATTATTGTCCTGTCAGGATGACCTTCGACCAGTGGGTACACTTGTGAGCTCTTGTTCAGTAAACTAATTTATTATTTAAGTTTCGAGGTTTTCACGGCGATGACTATGAAGAAAGTCGTTTTCTTGGTTTAGGCGCCGTGTATTCTTCGTTTTGGCCGACGTTTCGGAGGAACGTCGGCCAAAGCGAAGAATACACGGCGCCTAAACCCAGAAGACGACTTTCTTCATAATTTATTATTTGTTTTAAATTTTTCTCAGTTACAAGTTGCTGGAAACATTGTCCCTGATTAATGTTTTTTTTTCTGAAGAATCTTTATACCTTCCTTATATTAAACCTTTTACGTGGTGTGCGTGAGATATGTCTCTTAATTGGGATCACCCTCAAGGACTGGATTCTCAACATTATAAACTTACTAACAGAAAGTCTCCTGGAATGAAAACCAGTAGATGAAGATTGAACACTTCCAAGTGGAAATTACAGAACAGTTCCATATGCAGGAGGGCACACACATGCTCCTGTACCAAGTGCAGATAGATGGTTGTGTTGGACAGATATCAGGCTTCAATTGTTGATCTTCCTGCTAGGATACTGGTTCAGTGGATGCGGCATGTTCTTGAAAGCAGGCCTGATTTGATAAACTGCGGTGTCAAGAGAAAGTATTGATGCACCCATGGTGGGGGTGGGGGTCAGATCTGTCATCACATACATCGTGGTGTCTACCCAACAATGCAAACATATCACTCTTGTCTTACACATAGCTGTATAATCTTCATGCATCACATGAGCCCAGAAATCACTATACTGAACACAATGCCACTAAACAACGGCAATACACTTCCTTTATTCACAGCTTCACCTGACTGAGTGATTTGTTTCCATGTGCAAGATAAACACTGGACAGAGCTTTATAAATGTGATAACAGCTATTATTTTGACACTGTCTCCAAACACTCCACTTTCTCCATGTACATTTTTGCAATCTTATACACAGCTAAACATTATTCTGAATGGTTTCATCACAAGAAACGATTCCCATCTCTGGCTACAGCTTCTGTACACAGCCTGTCCATTTGTTGACATCTGTATTCATTAAGTCATGATTTCACCGCATATAGACATTATTTGCAATGGAATATTGTTTTCAGCAAAGGTTAAAAGTGCAATGTCAACTGAAGCACAGGTATTTTTCTTACTACCCCTTGGTGGTTCATTCCATAACTGCTACTAACGGCAGTAAGGAGTAAGGAGTAAGGACATTCAAGCAAGTCACAGAGTACGGAAAATTGGCTTCATTGCATTAGTTTTGAATGCACTGGTCTGGCTAATAATGTGCCACCAGATCACTTATACCAGGTGGATAACTTCTTACTCTAATAACTCATATTATTACAAAATTTTACACAGGGCCTTAGATTTTCCTGAAGGAGGACATTCAGATCTGTCTGCATAACAGTTATTTCTGCTGAGGAAATACTTTCATGCTACCTCTTGGAAGACATAAGAAATTATAAGACCAGAAGACCGGTGTGAATTAACATGATTCATACATGACATGAATGTGTGTGCAGGAGCAGACCCAAATTTGAGGGACTGGAGTGGGCGGAAACCACGGCAGTATCAAGCTAGCCAGGACACTTCAGTTTCTGCAGATACATTCAGGAGTGAGTATCTTAGTGGCATGATGTCAAGGATGAAGCTTCCTACTAACCTTCCACTAGCTGCTAATAACATTTCCTCCAAGATCCAGAAGTCCAGGCATCACAGCTTCCTTCGCAGGAGTTTCAGACCTTCTGATAGCAGAAAGCGTCCCCTGACCAGCCATGCTGCTTTGCACAAGTGAATGCTAACATAGCTTTGAAGAATAATTCTTTATGTGGTTTCATGGTGTAGGAACAGACACAGGTGGTGTTATCACATGCACTGATAGAAATACCATATTGTATGTTCTTTTTTCTTATTATCAGGGATATTGCTTAATGCGTTCAGAATTAAACAGAACATTATTCTCTGGTGGTCCATTACAGTTCGTTATGCAACTAGTATTTTCATAAAATAAAAACAAAACAAATATCTCTTATGCAACTTGTCAAAAGATCACACTCTACATGTTATTGTCCACTTTTGAAAAAATACTATTTTGTTTTTGATGTTTTGAAGCTAAATTTATGGAAATTTTAGTTCATATTGGAGTGCTGTTGGAAGTAACGGTGCATAACATAACATAACACAACACAACACAACACAACATATTTTCTTTCTATTGTTAGATGCACTTGGCCACATCTATTACCAGAAATGTTAATTTTCATGTAATTTGATAGAAATTTTCTTAGTATTGTTACTTTGTTATAATTATATATTTAAATAATGTTGTAATATTTATAATAGCAGATTTCTTCAAATGCATTGGCCTTTATTTAAATCAATAGAAATAGGAAATGATTTGTTTTCCATTTATTAGAGCAGAGTTTTTAAACATTTTTCAACTCACAGCACACTGAACAAGGTGCTAGAATTGTCAAGGCATGCCATAAAATTTTAAGGAAAGATTTTATCATTAAAGAAACGAGCAATAAGGCAGTGTTTGAAAGTTCAATAGCTAAAATTCTAATAATTGTGTTACTTTTAAAAATAATTTTGATCATGGATTTCGATGATCTTTGTATTCCTCAATTTTTGTCGCTTCTTTTTGACCTTTCACCAAAACTCATGTGGCACACATGTGGACCCTTTGTGTCACACCAGTGTGCCATGACACCCCAGTTGAGAATTGCTGTAACAGAGGTTATTAGTTTCACAACATCTTGGTACTCTTCTTTCTGGCATCTTGTGATGATATTTGTTTATTAAAATGTTAATATAACCCATTCACTCAAAAGAATTGTTCTTGTTTCACATTACCAGATTATAATTAGTTTTGTAGAAGAGTTGCTTTAAGATTTATTGTTAATAATCACATTTGCAGTCATATCCATAATCTTAATATTTAAATTACACAGACAGTATTCTGAAGAATTGTGTTCATTGTGGTATGGCGACAGGTTACAAGTATCTGTAGTGTAAAACGGGAGTTGGCACTAATGCTTTAGTTGTTATTACAAGGTTTGTGGTCTAAACAAAACTAATTTTGAGTAACTGTATTCATGACATTAATATGTTAAGGAATATGCAACTTACCCAATAATTATACAAAGATAACATAAATATGGTTGGTGTAACTAATGTGGTAACTCTTGACATTTTCATAATTAGCGTTATGATGACAAAATTTCCTTTAAGTGTGGTAATAAGAGACTAAACGAGATGTTTATTGATGTATGTGGCGTGATATACGAAGTTAGGAGTTGGGCTAGGTCAGTCAGTGTAGTGACTAGACCATGAGCTGGATGACTGGGGCTCGATTCATTGTGGGGCCAAGAGATTTTTCTCTACACCACAGCATCCAGCCCCGCTGTGGGGCCCACACAGCTTCCTATCCAGTGAATACTGGAGAGTCACATCTTAGTAGTAATGCATGAAGCTTACCACTCACCTCTGTCTGATGCTGAGGTCAAGAACGGTGGAGCCATAGCTCAACTCCCATATACATCTTCATGGCATGGTGCTAAATTAGTTAAGCACAGGGACAACCTTTAATATAAGAAGTTTCTCGTTTTTGAGCATTTTTTGCACGGAGTTTATGAATTTATTTTATGTCCAAAACTACTTGACAGAATTCATTGAAATTACAATTTCAGTTCTGTGCCTGTTAGGCAAATATAGGACATACCATGGTCTAGGCAGTTAGGCACTTTCTTCTTACCACAGCCCTGGGTTCAGTCCCATGTGATTTCATGTGAGATGGTGGTTGAAGTGGCACTGTAGTAGGCTTTTCACCAATTTTCTTCAGTTTTCCCCTGATAATCATCATTCCACCCTTGCTCTGTATTCATCCATGGCCACTCCATAAGCTGTCATCCCTGATCAACCAGTGCATTATCAGAGGCAAGGTTTTTAGTGTTGAATTTGAAAGCATGTAGGTAGAGCAGTCATACTGTATGCAAAGCTTCTAGCCAGCATTTCCTTGGAGGAACTCTGGAAGTCTGTGCCCTCAATCAGGATAACAGGTCCCTGGATTGAGAAGACTTTTTTGCTGACCAGCAGTTATGTGCTATTAGTAGTACTTTTGAAAATGTAACATGTGAAGGAAATCAAGTAGGTATGAATCTTATTTTTCAGCCTCTTGTACAAAAATAGCTCTCTGTGGGAAGGAAAAATTAAATAATTTTCTGGTTCATTTAGTTTGTATTACTATCGTAATACTAACATTTTTAGAACAGCTGGGTGTGGATTGGATGTATGTACACAAACTCTTGCTAACTAACTTCTCATAGGACAGTGTCTCTCAAAACAGAGGTCTTAAACCATTTACTAAGATCAAGAACTCACATAGACTGGCTGACAAGTCATTTTCTTAAAAAGAAAATAGTTTAGTTTCTCTGAAATTTGAAATTGAAAAATTGTCAGCCATGACTTCTGCCTTGCCTTCTTCTCTGCTTCCCATTCATACATTAATGGCTATCCCAAATATAAGCATTAGTACATTTCTTTTACTACTCAGATTATAAAATAATTTTCAGAATTACAAGAAGATTCTAAAACAGTTACAGTTACCATATTTTATTATAACTTTTTTACCTGCAGTTACTGTGTGTGTATATATATATATATACAGTGGAACCTCGCTTAACGAGCATAATTCGTTCCAGAATCTTACTCGTAATGCGAAACACTCGTTAAGCGAAACAATTTTCCCATATAAATTAATGTAAAATACGATAATGTGTTCCATGCCGAAAAAAGTGATAAAAAAATTTATGTACTATAACGTTTATTCAAAGAAAATTATATATACATTGCTAAGGAGCGTGAATCATCTTCATCATTTCTTCTGTGCAGAATGAACCAGCCTGGAATGCGAATTCGATTTGCAGAAAAAAAATCGAAATAATGAGTTTATTATTTATGATACATATCTAATTCTTTTTTACTAGAAAGCTGTCTAGAGACATTTGTTTTTGCCGACGCTTCAAAATTCGGTGAAAATGCGACACAGCATTATCATTAAATAAATTTATAGCACGCAGAGCCACTGCCTTATTAGGTGATGCTTCTCAGTGTACGATGCAACAGTTTCCCATGCTTTAAGCATTTATCTTATTGTGTCAGAAGATTGTTGCTTTGCTGTTACCTTCTCCTCCTCCTCTGACAAACTCTCCTCCACAACTTCTTGCTGTGAAACACAATGCAACTCCAAATCGTGCAAATCGTTGATGTAGACCGACTGTATGTGCGTGCTAGATCAGCCACGCTCACACCTCGTTCTCGCTTTTCAATGATTTTACGTTTCATTTCTACAGTTATTTTTATTCTCTTATGGCTGTCTTTTTGCGGCTTTTTCTTCGGGGACATTTAGAAAGGGTAATTAAACTTTGCACAAAAAGAAATCACAAATAATGTGTCTGAACACAAGTTTGGAAAAATGTGTGACCACAAGCGCCACTAAGAGCTAGCGGAACGAGTGCTAAACACAGACTGATGTAGCAAGCGCACAATCCGGGACTTCCCCTCTCGTCACTCGTTATGCGAAACGTCGCTCGCTAAGCGAGTCATTTCTTTACAATTTGTTTTGCTCATTATGCGAATTACTCGTTATGAGAGGTGCTCGTTAAGCAAGGTTCCACTGTAATGAGATTTAGCTATTTTTTCCATGCTTTAATTCACATTTTACTCTATAGTAGAGTAATTACTGTACTGAAAGTTGCATGTTTCTTTTTTTGCATGATGCATGTTGCATGAGGTATTTCTTGCAATTTGGTTTTACAATGTTTACCATGACATTTCCAAGTGCACACATGCTGTTATATGTGTATATTTTGAGCATCATTATGACAGTTGAACAAACATTGGTCCTGTAATTATGATTAATGTGAAATTGGTGGTACAAGTAGAACAAGATGCCATCCATAAGGCGTTTTTTTAGCCAATATTTATTATGAGAAATTATAATATTGTGGTTAAGTGGTTCCAACTCCTGATTAATATTTATGAGGCCCCAGGCTTTCTTCTTGACCCAGAAACTGTCTATCCTGAACTAGATTCTTCATGGCGTTTTGTTCTTTGTCCAGGCAAATGCAGGGATAGTACCAAAACAACAGAACAGATCAGCGTACTTCCTTCTGTATGGTTTTCAACTCATTTGCAGTCATCTTTCTGTTTGATGCTATATATGAGAAATTCATTATGAGATAAACAAACACATTTGTATGTGTATTAAAGGAGGAGCACTTTTCTGTACCTGAAATATGCAGACCGTGTCATAAGGATAAATTTGGCCAGACAAGTTGCCTGTTTAAAAAAATACATAATTTTCCTCCAGTATTCTGAATAGCATCTTCAGCATACTGATGTTTCACAAATGCTGGTATATTTGCCTGTTCATTTCCTAAATTATTTAATGCTGTCAGGCTTTTTTGTTATACCCAGCTGACAATCCATACAAAGTAATAAACAACAGATAACCTTGGTTGTTTGTCATGTGCTCAGATAAATGCTCTTAAGGCTCCAGCCCAGCATATGGAAACTCTGTAATGGTGAATCAGCAGTTGTGAAATTAATTGTA